TTGTAGTGCGGCGGATGGCTCAGCTGCGTGTGGGCGAGCAGCGGGTAGAGGACGCGCAGGTACGTGTGGCGCAGCGAGGCCTTCTCGTCCGGGAGGTCCATGAGGTTGCGGATGATGACGTCGAGGAGGACCTTGAGGTCGTTGGTGTAAAAGTACTCGTGCGTCGCTTTCGTCGTGAAGAGGAGGTACAGCAGCTTGAGGATGAGGAGCTGCTGGCTCGTTTCCGTCTCGCGGTTCAGCAGCAGGATGATGTTCTCGCCAAAGGTCCGGAAGCTGTCGCCGTGGAGGCTCAGACACTTGATGACTCTGTTCGTCAGAGGGGCCGAGGGCGCGAGAGGGTCGGTGCCGATGTTGGTCGAGGAGAGCATGTACTGTTCGTTGAGCACGAGCTGTGAGGGTCAGCTGGGATCGAAAGATGCGAGGAAAGGCAGCATGCAGAGGCATGAAGAGGCATGAAAGGCATGAAGACGGGTCGAAAGGGCACATACGAGGACGCGAATGATGGGATAGTGGTACGGGTCGTGAACATCGTTGGACAGCTCCTCGATGATCTGAAACAGATAGTTGATGAACCCGTCGTCAATCTGCAAGAGATCCTCGGTGCGCAGGCGCTCGATGCGCGACATCTCGTACATGAGCTCCAGCAAGAGGCGATGCAGCCTGGGATCGCGGTCCTTGCGGCCGTTGAGGAGCTCGAGCAGGCGCGGGAAGCAGGCCTCCTCGACCATGCGCGTAAAGGTGGCCTCGTCGGCGCGGCCGTCGAGCAGCAGGAAGCAGGTGATGAGGTAGAGGCTGTTGGGCTCGTCCTCCTGCAGCAGGCTGAAGATGATCTGGGTGCGCACGTAGTCCCTGTTGTCGACGAAGAGCTGGCTCGCGAGCAGCTTCTGGGCGCAGGCGGCAATGTCGTCCTCGGCGTCGCAAAACTTGTCGCGGAACATGGAGGCGAGGTAGAGCCAGGAGCGCAGCGTCTCGTCGATCAGGTCGTGGGACTGGTATTGGGTGCCGACCACATCGTCGAGTTCTGTCGACGTCAGTCAGTCGGCGGACGCAACACTCTGGCGCAGAGAAGGGCAAAGAGGAGGCAGAGAGGGAACACCAGAGAGACGTACCTTCGAAGAATTCCTGCTCCGTCTCGAGGGATTGGTACACATCGTAGTCAGCCATGGTTGCCCGCAACTGAAGAAGAACAATGGCCAGCGGTATATGGTGTGTATCTCTCACATCACTGTCGTCGGGCCGAGGGGTGTGAAGTGAACAGGTGTGGTCATGGAGGGCTGGTTTGTTGGAGCAGTAGTAGCAGCAGCAGGCGTTTGGAGAAGGAGAGAGGCTGGAGTGGGCAGCGGAGCGGGGTGGGGTGGATCCAACGCCTGCGCTACCAACCTTACGTCAAAGCTACAGGGAAGGCTACCTATACATACCTACCTAGGTGCCTGAGGTACCTGTACCTAGGTACCTAGGTAGCGTTTCCAGCGACGTCCTCCCGGATAAGGTATCACCGTTCCCGACAGCCAGCTGCATCGACCAAGACGCCAGGCGACCAGTCCGCGATCATTTCGACTCGGTGCAAAATAAGTTCATCCGTCTGACTCGTATCTATCATCTATGGGAATCATCGCAAACGCACGTCATGCAGTACACCAACCGTCATCGTCATCCTCCCCGTTGGCCCGACATGCCTGCTACCCGCCAAACGCCCAGAAGCAGAACCAGAAACAAGAAGCACACCACCGCCAGCGCAGCCCGTCGAGGCTCGCAACAAACGCTCGCCTAGTCGCGCTCTTCGCCTTCCTCGTACACCTTGACCTGGTCGGCATACCTGTGAATGTCGCTGACGACGTAATCGGTTATGGTGTGGCCCCTGCCGGCGGCGACGCGCAGAATGAGCTCGTTGAGGTTCTGGCGGCCGAGAATGTCGACGTGGTCCGCCGTCTTGGGCCCGCCCCGGGGACTGAAGCGGTCGGGCTCGTGCGGCATCTCGACGACGGTGATCTTGGCGCCCGCCGGGTTGTACCGCTTGAGGTCCCAGCCGCGATTGCACATGTACCCCGTGCTCAGCAGGTTGACCGTTCCGTCGCCCTCGCCCATGACGACGCCGTGGTCGACCTCGCCCTCGATCAGCGCCGTGTCAATGGTGATGTTGAGGTTCGTCATGGACGGCATCTCCGGCGACCTGTAGTAGTAGCCGCGCTCCGTGGGCTTGCCCACGCCGTAGAAGCAGTAGATCTTGAGGTTGGGCGCCAGCGGCAGCCTCGTTTCGAGCGGGTTGATCCACTTGCGGGGGTCCTTCTCGTTCGCCTCGACTTCGGCCTCCGTGTGCGCCACGCCGTGAGAGTAGCTCTCCCTGACGAGGTCCTGGTACCACGTCTCTGTCGTGTTCCAGAGGTACTGCAGCGAGTCGTCGACCGTCAGGTTCTTCTCCGGCGTCGTCCGGTTGAGGCCCTCCCTAAAGTTGAGCACCGTACCAAACGTGTGGTTCTGCCCCGGCAGGTCATCGGGCGCCCATGTGCCGTTGCCCCAGACGGCGTTGCCGCCGAGCGGAAGCATCGATGAGATGCCAGGCATCGCTCGGAAGAGCTCGGCCCTCTCGTCCTTGCTGAGGAACTTCTCGAGACCGTAGACGGCAAAGGCGTTGAGCTGCGCCGTGTCCCGCATCTCACCCGACAGCACGGCCGTCAGGTCCTTGACGGCACCCAGCATGCACCCGCTGACGTTGATCCAGGACTCGACGTAGCGGTCGACCCAGTCGTCGCCGCCACGGCCGCCCAGGTCAGAGGCCACCCAGTGGAAGAAGTAGAAAACGACCTGCCCGCCCATGCTGTGCGACACAAGGACGGCTTTCTTGCCGCCGGATGCTTCAAAGGCCGTCTCAATGTGGTTCTTGAGGCGCGTGAAGTACTGGTCTCGGATCTCGAGGTGCGGGTAGGCCAGCCGCCAGTCGTACGCAGCAGTGAACGAGTTGGACGGGTCGTAGCCGATTGAGGCAAGGTTCTCGAAAATCTTGTTCCAGATCCAGTATCCCGTGATGAAGAAGTCGGTCGCATCGAACCCCTGCGCCGCCCGTAGCTTGATGTTCGGGGGATCGAGGCCCGTCTGCTTGTCGAGCATGATGTGCCTCTTCCAGTTGTCCTTGTCCATGACGAGAGCGCGCATCATGCTCCAGCTGCCCCAGAGACGCTTGCGAAAGTATGGCCGGGAGACGTTGGCGGTGCCCCAGGACTCGAGTCCCGTCGAGATGACGCCGGGCACCATGATCATGGGATGGTGGGCTGAGAGGCCTTCGGACCGCGCCTGTAGGCCGACGGCAAAGGCATCGTAGCTGTCGACGAAATCACGTTCTCCTTTCTGTCGGCCGTAACGTCAACACGAGGCTCTTTGACTTGCAGTGTATCGAAGAGTGCAGTGTGTCGAAGAAGGCGCGTATCGAAGAATGCAGTGTATTGAAGAGTGAGGAACAAGGCAAACATACCACGAGGTCGCGCATATCAGTGACGAGGCCGGCGGGCAGGGCATCGAAAAGGCTGTCGACGCTGAACTCGCCGAGCTCAGGAAAGTCGATGAGGTCGTTGCTCTTCGCAAAGAAGCCGGCGGCGACGAGGCCGAAGAGACTGCCGAGGAGGAAAATGGCGGTGGAGCGTCGTTTCCTCGTCTTGGGCTTGTCGATATGCTCGACGATATGGACGTGTTCAACGGTCGTGTGGTCGTCGTCTTGACCGGCGGCCGGCGGTGTGGGTGGTGCCTCACTTTCGGATGGATTGCTAAGGGCACTGTCGGATGGTTGACTCGGCGGCATGCGCCGCCTGAGTTCCGAGGTTTGGGGCTGTCGCGGCATGGCGGCGCCGGGTGTCGTTGCCAAGACAGCCGAGTGTGTAAATAAGCGCTGAAGCTGCCGACTTGGTGTTGAAAGAAGTCTTGCGAGCCGCAGCTAAGACGTGGGACCTGTCGGAGACGGCGGGATACCTTGGATGGCCCATGCACGTGGTATCACATGGAACGGGAAAAAGTCGAGGCGCGCTAGCTGCTGCCGGTACTTCTGGCTACCTACCTTAGGTACGATTGCCTAGAGTACAGAGCTCCCTGACAGTGGGTTCCCTGTCGCGAGAATGCTGCAAGGGATTTCTCGAGGTCCCCTGTTGCACCTGGGTGGTGTTCCTCCTCGTGGCGTAGGAGACTCGACCGTCACTTTTGGAAAAGGAGCTGTCACGCTGCGAAGACAGTGACGTCAACATGGTGGCGGCCGAGAGCTACACCTGCGAGCTCTCAGCAGACATTGTTCGGATATATTCGTCCGACTTCTGCATGGTTGGTGTCTGTCTTGTCTTCTACTATGCAGCCGATGCTACTCAAGTCGCCCGTACGGAGATTTGCCTTGGTGTCCATGCCAGGAGCTTTGGCTTTGCAGATCTCGCCAGCGGCATCGGGCTTCACTGTGGTGCTGTCAAGTCGAGGTGGGACTGAGTCACCCCCACTCTGCCCTCTGTAGGGGCCCCTGGACCGCTGCCAGGGAGGGAGTCCTGGGAGTGGAGGGGCTTTCACGCAGCTGTGTCGCACTCCAACCTCACCCGTCATGTTCCGTCAGCCGCGCAGCGTCAACCCTCGAAGTACATTGACGTTGTACTATCGACTGCAAGTGATCGCCCATTGAAAACGCAAGCAGGGCTGTATCTCCCTCCTTTTGGTTGGCGCAACACATCTGCATAGTCGCCTCGAAGTCCCGCGTTTGCACTCGATCCAGAACAGCAACGTAGGGCCAGCACCGGACCTTCTTTCCAACTCGGGCAGCCGGCTGCAACTCATTTAGAAGCCCCCCGCCTTGGACCCTGAATGCGGTTTTCTAAACGCCATTCCAACCGTCGACCTCAACCTCCTTCTGTGCACATACCGTCTTGGCTGTATTGAGAACTTGGGTGATTGAGTAGACGACCGCGTGATCTGGTCTCAAAGACGCCAAGCCCACACATCTCGCCCGCCCATCAGAAAACCCTCCTCCGCCCAGTACGACGATGGCGGGGCTCACAGATGAGCTCAACTACATTCAGTATGACCACAGCCTCGAGAGCAAATACCTCCCCGCCATACGCTCTCTCATCGCCAAAGACCTGAGCGAGCCCTACAGCATATATGTCTACCGCTACTTTCTGTGCCAATGGGGCCACTTGTGTTTCATGGTACGTCGCGCCATCCTTGACAAGACGGCGGGCAGTGGACTGACGACTCTCGCAGGTCCTCGACTCTGACGCGTCCCTCGTCGGAGTCATCATCTGCAAGCTCGAGGTGCACTCGTCCCACTCTCCTCCCACACGCCGCGGCTACATCGCCATGCTCGCCGTAGCGTCAAGTCACCGCGGAAAAGGCATAGCCACGGCCCTCGTCAAGAAGGCCATCGACGCCATGGCCACGCGGAGCGCGGACGAGATTGTGCTCGAGACGGAAGAGACCAACATACCCGCGGTGCGCCTCTACGAGCGTCTCGGCTTTCTGCGCTCCAAGAAGCTTCACCGCTACTATCTAAACGGCAACAGCGCCTACCGCCTCGTTTTGCTGCTCAAATCTATCGATCCGGATGCACACATGGAGGAATCGGACGAATTATACTCTTGATTTTGCTGCATTTCAGCATTGTTCATATCATCTGAGGTCACCAGTCTTTTGCTGGAGCGAGTTTCGCGGGGTCGTGCATGGGATTTATGGTGTTGGGATGCATATTAGGAAGGCCTGCGGCATGGTTCAAAAGCAAATTCCATCTTTCATCGGCGCTCCCATTCTCTCGCCGTAAAATGTCAAATTTCCACCTACAGATGGCAGCCCTCCCAGACTCAGGTGGCAAAGTCGAGACTTCCGTCCCACCATGCCATCATGCTTCTCAAATCTGCGCCGCTACCTCGTTTGAGTTGTAAATTGACGCCTTGAGGCCCCAGCTGTTTCCTCCCGCAATGCCGATGTAGGTAAAAGCATCTGGATTTTCGCTGTTAGCTTTCGTCATGAGGTTGGGGGATCCGCCCACAAACCTGGCTTGTAGTATATCGCCTTTTTCATCGTCTCAACGACTCCCAGGTCCTGCAGCCCTCGCAGAACCCTGGTGACATCAGCCATGTCCCGAAAGTCGGCCGTGTAGACGCAGATGAGCCGCTCTTTACGGCCCGTATCGTCGGATCTCGGCGCAACCTTTGCAGCGATCCCCAGCTCGTTGTTGGCAGTAGCCTTAGCAACCAGACCCCAAACTTCGTTGACCACCTCTGGGTCGCAAAAGAGCATCCACTAGGGTCAAGTCAGCCCCGTGCTCAGCTTGCTGATCATGCATGAAGGCGTCATGTCCTACCTTGCCAGACCGCACACGGCAAGCATGTGCCAGCTTCAAGACATCTTCCACAGCCGCCTTCCTTTCCTTGTTGGCTTCCCTCGTCTTGACTGTCTTTGTTTTTGCCGCCAATTCCAGTCCTCCGAGAAAGCTTGTGAGGATATGCAGCCTTTCAGTGCCTCCTTCCACAGCCCTGGCCAGCTGCGTCCCCTCCTCCTCCGGCGCCTCATCCTCGTTGCCCCTACTGCCCCGGCTCTGCGCATGCGGCCTCGCCTTACGAGAGATGTACGGGTTGCAAACAAAGATCCAGGGCACCTCCTCCGAGGCTTCCGTCGTCGCCGGGGGCAGGCGCGACAGGAAATCGTCAATCGTCTCGGTCAGCTGCCAGGCGTAGGGAACGCCGGCGTAGGGGTTGTGCAGCTTGGATGCGGTCTTCCACTTCTTCCGGGCCGGCATGGGGCTGAGGTGGGCTCGGTCCTGGTGAGCCTGCTGCCACTCATGGACGTCGAAGTCGTCGACGCGAGCCTGGAGCTCGGCTACGATGTCATCGTCACCTGGCAGTGTCAGCTTCGCGTCTCTGGAATCATGCAGAGGACGCCTTGATACCGTAAAAATCCGACTCTGAGTCGTACGAAATCTGCGGCGCCATTTAGGTTGTCGAGATTCCAAGGTGTTCGGGTCAGTGTCAAGTTCAAGATCAGAGCACCAAGTCACGCGTTGGACGGGTTATTTTGCAAGTGCCGATACGAAAGAAAAATGCTGCGGTGCTCAATACGTGCCGCTGAAACCACAGAAAGAGTATTGTGTAAAATAGCGATGCAGGTGAAGGCTGTTCAACACGTTTGTTCAGGGTGACGAGAAAGCAAGTCTCGCAGAGGAGGCAGGTAGTAGGTTGGCAGGTCCTTGCCATGGTCCCGCCACTAGATCCCTCCCCTTGACACTCATGACGGTGGGCAGGGGTATTGCTTTTCAGCAAATCGACCCATGTCCTTTTGATGGGCGTTTGCTTTCTGATACGACCCCTCCATGCGGTTGTCTGTCAACTGGAACGAGTTGGGTTTGCGGCATGGCGCAGATGCTTGTCGAATTGGGACGATTTGATACTGGTGGCGGGCCGGCCCGCACATTTTAGAATCAAGGTGATGGTAGTGTCAATTCAGAGGCGAGCATGAATAAACCTCATCCTCCACAGTACCAACTCACACATGATCCATTTCATACAGTCCAGCACAGGCGACTGGGACAATCTACAGAATGAGCGACGAAGGTCAGACAATCGCCTCAGCCCAAAGTCTCGTGCTGGACTTGCCGCCGAGCTGTATCGAGTTTTCCCAGACGCACCCCTGGTACTTCGTTGTCGGAACCTACAACTTGCAAAAGGACGACAAGGTGGAAACAAAGACCGATGCCTCCGAAGACGACGAAAGTTCTCTCGAGCACGGAGAGGTGACCGCGTTAAATAAGACGCAGAATCGCAATGGCACCCTCGTCGTGTTTAGGCTCCTGGATGCAACGATGTAAGACTCTACCTCAAGCTCCTGCCACCCTACTTGTTGCTGACACCGGACAAAGGCATCATGTTCAGGTAGTCTCACAACCATCTGCGATTCTGGACCTTCACTTCTGCCCCATCGTCGGCAAGCAGGACATTCTAGCAGTGGCCTCCAGCACGGGCACGCTCGCCATCATGCGACTGGACCCATCTGATGAGTCCTCGCCGCTGAAGCACATCGCGACGAGCACATTCCCTGATACCCCTGACGGTGTCCTTTTCCTGTCGCTCGCCTGGCACCCGTCAGTCCCCAAGGTCCTTGCTGTCACGACATCATCAAATGACGTCTGCCTTGTGCGCCTTGACGATGACTGGAAAATAATTCAGGATGACCCGTATCCTGTCCTTACCCACTCACTTGAGGCCTGGACCGTCGCGTTCACCCCGCCTACAGCTTCCAACGAGGACGGACGGACAGAGGATGACCTCACGGTGTACTCGGGAGGGGATGATTCCGCCCTTCGATACGTCGCCTTGGGCGCCACGGGACTAAGCGAAGAGAGCCGATTCGGCCTCCTATTTCCGCCTCTCAAGCTGGATGCGCATGATGCAGGTGTGACGGCCATCCTGCCGACGTCTTGTCATCTTCACGATGGGTCCAGGATCGTGCTCACGGGAAGCTACGACGACACATTCCGCATTCTCGCAGTCCACTCGCCTCGCAAGACCTACGGAGCTCGCAAGTACAGCCGCATTGCCGAAGAATACCTGGGAGGCGGTGTATGGAGGCTGAAGCTGATACAAGCGCGCCAGGAGGGAGACGAATGGCACGCCACAGTCCTGGCTTCGTGTATGCATGCGGGCGCGAGGGTACTGGAGGTCAGAGGCTCTCTGGATGGTCAGAATTGGGATATCAAGGTGCTTTGTCGGTTTGAGGAGCACAAGAGCATGAACTATGGCAGCGATTTCGTGCCAGGGACTGGTGTCAGCTCACTGCCACTGGTCTGCGTGTCTACAAGCTTCTACGATAAACTGCTGTGTTTGTGGAGATTCGAGACAAGTTGAAATGCTCGTGAGGGTAGAATATACAGGATCTGCAACAAAACTCTGCAACGAATTCACTGTTCCGATGCGTCTTGTTGATATTGCGGCCCTTTGCTGCATCTAGGTACCTACATATCTAGGTACTGACCAGAGCAGCACTGTACTTTACAGTCCCCACTGGGCTGGCAAGGCTGGGTACCTTCGGTCGTGGCCGCGTCAAGGGAGGGTTTACCTCGCAGGCTCAGGCCCAGGCCCCGGGCTGTCAGGCCCAGGCGTCAGGTTTCTGGCATCCATGCATGTGCGCCCACTTCCATATTCAGGTCGGGTCCGAGTGCCTTTCAGTTCGTCGCTCAGGACCTTATGTACCTACCACCTAGGTACCTACCTTAGGTACATTACCTTACCTCACCTCCCTGGAAGCTCGGGCTGCCTGCCTGGGTCCAGATCCCTGGGGCGAATTATTCGCTTGACACTCCACGCTTCACGCTTCACCTCTCACCTGATCTGTTGTCTGTCTTCTCCCAGCTTCGGTTTGATCTTCTTTGCAGCTTGTCCGCCGTCGTTGCCCTTTTTGTGTGCTGCAGCTCGCGCTGCCTAACATATCTTAACCCAAAGACCCCCACCATTTTTTGTTGTCTCCCGCCCCAAATCTCGACCCCTAGTCTGGTCAGCTCACTGCCGTTGTTCTCCAAATCCAACAACAAACACTAGACTCATCCCCCCCGCCCTTCCCCTCCCTTACAGCAACCCGACCCCCGAACCGCATGCGATCGATTTGATATCTTCGAGGAGGCATCATCACGTTCGACCCAGAGCTCCCGATCGAGGGTTGTCTTGCTCGTCTACCATGGCCTCGGCGCATTCCAATGGCGCTGCCGGCATCGGCTCGTCAAACGGCGGGGAGGTCGATATCCTCTCCCAGATTCACCAGGCCCTCGAGGTCGTACACGCCCCCTACTCCGCCAACGGAGCTCGGAGGGAGGCGCAAGAGTTCCTCGAAAACGTCAAGGCCGTCGACGAAGCCCCCTTTCACGGCTACACCCTGGCCTCGAACAAGTCGCAGCCCGCCGTCGTCCGACACTATGCGCTCTCGCTTCTCGACAATGCCATCAAGCACAAGTGGGCCGACTACACCACCGAACAGGCCTCGACCCTCAGGGGGTGGATGCTGGAGCTGTGCCAGGGCATCTCGCAAGCCGATCCGTTGTACATCAGAAACAAGACGGCCCAGCTCTGGGTGGAGGTGGCGAAAAGGTCGTGGGGCACCGAGTGGATGGACATGGACGAGCTGCTGGTTCAGCTTTGGCAGGTGCCCGACTCGGCCGTACACAAGGAGCTCGTCATGACGGTCCTCGAGACGCTGGGCTACGAGACCTTCTTTGGCGATGACGTCGTGGTGGCTATGAGGCAGGGGGTCCTGTGCAAAGGTTGGACAGAAATCACCACGCCCACTGCTGTGCTGGCCGAGGCGATCAAGAACCGCAACCCAGCCCCCGAAGTGCGGTACGGTGACGAGGGCTGGCTGGTGCGGTTGGTGACTCTGCTCGAGCAATGTCTCAACGGCGACATCAACGGCAACAGCGAAGTGCGTTCCTGCGCCGTGAAGGCGCTCTCCGTCCTCAGCACGTTAATGCCGTGCACCATCCCCAAGGGCACCGCAGCCTCGAAAGTCGTCCCCGTCGCCTCCAGAGCGCTTGCTGCTTCCCAGGTGTCTGTCCAAAAGGTATGGCACCTTCGCTCTCAGTGACCAAGCGCTACTGCCATCTTGGGGGAGCTTTACTAACATGTTGGTGCAGGGAGCTCTGGAGGTTTTGCATGCCCTTTATTCACGCGATGACTTTTACGACGAGGAGTTCGCAGAGCTGGTGGCGCCCATGTACGAGCAGGCGTCGGTCGGACTGCTCAAGGAGCTCTTTAACTGGTCAGTGGTCGATGCCGAAGATATTGACGACGACAAATACCAGTTTGCTAAGAAATTTTCCGAGGTTCGTATGAAAGCAGATATCGATGGAGCATCTGTACTGACTCTTCCAGATGCTGTCCTTACTTGGAAATTATCTTGATCGAAAATTCTCCGTCGTTCCCACGGGGTCAGATATCGATGGTTTCCTGAATCTTCTCGTTGTTGTAGCGCAAAGCCAGAGCCTCATTGTGTCCATCCCTGTGCTCGTAACGTGGACCCGTCTCCTCAACAACAGGTTAATCGGGCAAAGTTCCGCCAACTCACAGCTCATTGGGCCTCTGCTTGAGCTGTGCGGCTCGAGGCTCATCAGATACGAGAACCTGCCTGAAGACACGCAAGATGCCACCTATCTGTTCCTCATGGAAGACACAGACACCATGCCTGAGAGGCATGCTTTCCTAGGCAACTACCGTCGCTACAGCATGCAAGTCATAGAGGCGATTGTACAGCTGAAGCCGTCCGACGCCATCTCGCACATCCTGGGCCAAACCGAGCAGGTGCTGCACCATCTGTACGATGGACAGCCGAGCCTGAATGGTACGCGCCCTGCACCACAGCCTTAGTGAGAGACCTGCTAACCCCCGTAGTCGCCGCATACGCGAAGCATTCCATGCCTGTTCTACGCGCCGATGCCCACTTGACCGTAATCGATGCCGCCAACAAGGGCTACATGAAGTGGAGGGCCAACCCAATCCAACGCGGCAATCCCGATTATGTGAGTGACATGATATCGGAAGAATTTTACTTGGGACTGATGTGGTCTAGGATCAACAACGATCGAGCCTCGAGGACGGCCTCGAATCTTGGTGTCACAGGCTTCTGGATATGAACTTTGAAGACCCAATGGTTCGCAAGAGGGTACTGCAAATCCTGGTCCTCATGTCAACATCAGCACTCGATAAGAGACCTCAGTTCATGCTGAAGGTCCTCGAGCACATACTAATGACGTGGCCGGCGCCCCAGCCGGAACACCGTGCCTTCAACGAGGCCATCAAGGACTTTCAGTCTGAAAGTATGTTCGAACTGCAGAGGCTAGCATCCAAGGTCCCCGATCATCTGCTTGCTGTTTATGATCAAGTTGAGACGCGGGTCCGTGACATGGTCACTTCGGGGACGCTCGACGAGAAGCGACAGATTGCATATCAAACATTTCTGTTCATCATCGTTCACAGGGCGAGCAACATTGATCCCCAGGTCCAGATGCAGCGATTGGAAGGTTTCATCGAGCCAATCAAGGCTCAGTGGCAGAATCCCGAGCTTAAGCAGGCTCTTTCGTCATACTCTGGCTTCTGTGAGCTGATGGCGCTAGATAAAGCGAAGGCCTATCTCAGGAATCACGGAGCTCATACTGTTAGTGACTGGGGCGCGTGCGAGCTGGATGCTGAGGGCCTTGCTCTGCAGGCGGAGCTCGAAGACAGGCAAAAGGTATGAAACATGGGATCTGCTGTCTGCTGTCCGAACGATGCTAACATGCTGCAGATGCTGCCCCTTCGACCGACCAAATCTTTCCTGTCTTACTCTGTCGAAAAGCTGGAGAAGTCTTCCCAGCCCTTCCAGGCATCATACAGGCTCTGGAATAACGAAGCCTTCCAGGCCATCTTGCCTGATCTTCTGCAATTCCTCAGGTGTGTATTCCTCCAGCCCGGCCACAGCGTACACACACAACTGACCTTGCAGCCATGCCCATGCTTCGCACAACCCCGACAACTGGCCCGAATTTCCCAATGAGATGGGCACTGTCGTCAAGAGAGTGCTCAGCGATCGCTTTTGGCAGGCAGGCATCTCGGAAGGCAGCAAAGACGAGTTCTACGCACGCGTAACAGATAGGAAAGGGACGCTTGAAGGTCTTGCATCGACCATCAGAGGCTCGGTGCGGTTCGTGCGAGAGACATGCTATGCGATTATTTACTGCATGAGCCGGCTCGAGACGTACTTTTACGGCTTTGGCGAACTGCCGAGCCCCCTCGCCGAGGCGTTGTTCCAGAACGCAGTCCACCTGTCTGCCCATCAACAGATCAATCTGCTGAACCTGACGAGATACCTGGTGGATGATTGTCCGCTGGAACAGCGCGAGCACTTCCTGCCGCCGCTCCTGGCGAATTGCTTCCGACAGATGGACGCGAAGATCAGTTCTGAATGGAAGAGGCTTGAGGACCAACAAAAGATTGACGTCGGAAGCGATGACCTGACCGAGGAGATGAAGTCGGAGAGCATCCTGCGTCAGGTCACTCACACGGCAGTCATCATGGTCGCCGATTTCCTTGACCCTACGAAGCGAAGTAAGTATTCCCGTGTGTACGCTGGCCTTGCGTCTTTCGTGCTGACACTCGCGCAGACCCCGCGCCGCTGCGGCCACAGGACCCTCCCAAACGATACCCGACGCTTAGAAAGTTCTGTCTCATGCACTCAAGCATTGTCGAGCCTCTTCTTTTGTTCAGTACGCACGCTATCCGAATGAGAGATGGGAGGTGCTGTAACATCATTCTGCGTGTCTTCCGATCGATTGTGCCCGACTTCCAGTCGTCCGATGTAACAGCTGCAGGTGGCGATGGCAACACACAACAGGACGGCGGCGCAGATCCCTGGCTCGACACGACGGCCATCGACCACGAGAGGGCCACGCAGATACGCGAATACATCTCAACACAGGTGCTCGAGGCGTGCGTGACATCGTTCCACGAGCCGTACTTTGTCGACCTGCAGAAGGATCTCGCGTCGCTCATCGCGGCGATCGTGGTCCACTACATGACGCTGACGGACTCGCCGAAGAATTTCCTCCTCAGCATCCCAGGCGTCAAGTTCAAAGACTTTGAGAAGCTCGGGGAGTTTGCGCCGAAGCCCAGCTCCGGGTCGCGCCAGCAGCGGGCGCTCGTGCTACACCTTTTGAAGGACGTCAAGGGCGTGAGCATGGCCGAGATGCACAAGCTGCCCAAGAGCGGGCTGCCGGCTGTGCAGAAGAAGCCGGCGCGCAGCAAGATGGCGCAGGAGTTTATGACGCCCGCGGACGAGGCGGGGTCCAAGGGGCAGCCATCGACGGGCGTCGCGGATGACAGCCTCGTTGGACTCGCCAACTTGTTCGACGCGTAGGGGCTCACGCACGAGGAGGGTGCACACTCGCGCGGGGGAGGGCAGCAGGGGGGCAACAGGATCAGCACGTGACTGGAAAGGCAAAGGCGGCGGCGGCGGCATGGAGTTTACGGCGTTGGACAAGACCAAGAATGGGCGGGGGAAGGATATCATAAGAACAGCCAGGGCAGGAAGAGGCAGAAAAGCGAAAGGGTCGACTGGCCATCGAGCCACGCCCAGCTCTGTGCCGCGGCATTCGTTTGTCCTGGCGCAGGGGTGGGCGGATGGATGGATGGACGGCGACGTTCAGTAGAGAAACGCAACGATAAAAATTATCATCATTCTGGCCATGCCTCGGCTTCTGCTTGTGAACCTGTCCAGTGTCCTGCCCTCCCACTGGACGCTCCCGTCGTATCGCGGTTCATCCCTTTACGAGAGCTACCTCAGGTATCCCTTTGACGCCGAAATTGGGCCTCAGTACATAGACTGATCACCGCCTGCCTGAATATGTATATTGTGGATCTTGATAGGTACTCGTTCGGTACATGATTATAGCGGGTAGACCTCCCTATGATAAGTAACGTACAGGCGTGTAGATGTACTGCTCGTTCTATCTTTTTATTCAATTGGCGAAATCTATTGTCTGCCACTTGGCTGTCGATCATATGAAGTACTGAGGCTAAATTTCGGCGTCAAAGGGATAACGGTGCGTTCTGGGCGACCCAGATATAATGGCAGTATTCAGCTTCCAGACCAGTTTTATACTATCGCTTGACTGCACTATATCAGATGAGAATCTTTGAAGTAGCCTTGGTTCAAAGTACCCGAGACCGTTCTCGGTCCTGAAGCTACCTTATGGAGTGGAGGTTGTCCCCGGCATCCGCCAGCAATTGGTACCAGGTGCACGCGATACGTCCCCCGCCTCCAGACCAGCAGGTGGCGTCCCCTCATCCGCAAGCATTTCCGCATCGAGGATGGCCCCATCCAGGGATCTGGGAAGGGCAAAGTGCGGCTCGGCACCTGCAGGCTGGCAGAGTGAGAATGGGAGATGGGGGTGGATTTTGAGGGGATCACCATCACCACCACTGCCGGCCGATGGAGGGCGGTTGGGCGGATATTCTGAGGGGCGAGACCGAGGTCCGGGTGATCTGCGGCTTGGGGCGGGGGGTATTGCCTGCCATTTGCCTCTTGATACATACAGTATACTTTTCATTTGTTTGTTTGGCTACGCAATCACGGGACCGGGGGAGGGGGGCTATCGATGACAGGAAGAGAGATGGTCGTTTCCAGGGGGGAGAGACATGGGGAGGAAATGGGGGGCCGGGTCGGGAGGGAAGATCTCAGGAGGGGCCGGACGCTGGCTGGCTTGCTTCTTGCTGGTTGGTGGCGAGTGGTGGGGTGGGAAAAGCGTGTTCCTGAATCGCCGCGTCAGGGGACAGGCTGACATGGTGTGGACCGTAGATGAACGATGGACGGTCGACACGACCGAGGGCCGCTTAGTGATGTGCTGCTTGTGCGACGTAGGACACGTGTAGGCGACCGAGAAACGAAAAAGCAAAATGCTTGAAAGGTTCTCCGCCTCTCTCCCCCGGGTCAGTCGACCTCGTGTCCTGGCTGTCCGATCGATGGCGGCCACGAGGGAGGGAGCATTTGTCACGAACGGGAGGAGGCGCATTGAGGGCGGGGAGTTGAAGGGTGATCCTATAGGCCATGTATAGGCCACGGGGATCATGGGAGTGCCAAAAAAGAAAGGGCAAGACACTGGGGTCGCACAGCCGTGTCTCTCCTTTCGTCGCTGCTCTCAGTGTCTCGGGCTTGGGTAGTGGATGTGAAACATGGGCTTCGTGAAGAATCGCTGTCCGGATGATGGGATGGTTC